ACAAATTTATCGTAAATTGTCCTCTTCCACCAAGCTTTTAATTACTCAAAGTTTTCAAGTACCTATTAGTTTAGTTCTTTTTTGACTGTACGAATTATCACATTAAAGAAATCCGGAATTAGTGCAGTTGAAATTAAAATGTGCTTTGCGAAGTTAAATGCATCCTAATAGATTTATAAGTAGTCTTGATGAGGGTGAAACACTTCTATAAGTGTTCTAACTCTTGCATTTTTCCTTTTTCATAGCCGATCATCCAGCTTTTCGCGTGCCAGCACGAAACTAAAGCGTATTTAGGTTAAAGATCTTTTCAAGTTTTGTGTACATCTAATCATTGAAAAAGAACTGCTTTTTAGGAATTTGAAAACGTTTTATTTATAACGAAGGGCGTTCTTCTAGGAACGAGTCATTTTATAAAGCGTGAATCTTAAAGTACCATTGTCTACCAGCATTCAATGCGGGCGTGTTTTAGATTTTTCTGTGATATTTCTCTAGGCTTGACATAAAAGGACACCAGACAGCATCCCTTTCGAGCTTTTGCTCATGTTTGAAAATAAAAATACATCGTGATATAAGCAAAAACGTACTCTTTATTATCCCTTTGTACTATATGAATGGAGATCTGTAAGATTCGACCTTTAAACCGATGGATGGAAACGGATTGCGAATGGATATTCAAAGTCACCTCATTTTCCATGTATGAAAAATCTAAAATACGACCGCATTAAATGCTTGTTTGACAATGACTTTGATMATTCTAATTTCAGGTTGGGCGTTTCAACTTAGTACTATTAATCATTCTTTCAAGCTCTATAAAAATCTTTACTTTATAAGTAAAAGTCTCCACCTCAGGACTTTTAAATTGAGATTTTTTCATACGGAAAATGAGATTACTTAACCAATAAACATTCCCAATCCGTTTCCATCCGTCGGTTTCAAGGTCAAATCTTTTAATATCTCCATTCATGGAGCATAAAAGGACAATAATGAGAATCAAGTTCTCAAGAATCTAGCTTTTTAGGGGAAGGGGGGTGGTGGCAATTGGCAGCAAAAAAAAAAAAAAAAAAAAAAAAAAAAAAAAAAAAAAAAAAAAAAAGGAATACAGTTTGAACCTAAGTCTCCCAAGTGAATTAAAGTGAAGTAATTAAACCCATAAAACAAAACTTGACAATCAAAGTGTGATAGTCTAATAGACACAAAAGAAAACAATGCAATTGTTTTAAAGTATAAAGTTTTAGCGTATTAAAGTATATTATTTAATGCTTTTTTTTACTTAATAACTCTAGCGCCTAATTTTTTACGTTTTTATTTCAGATTTTTCGAGTGAGAATTCTAAAAACGTAAATAAGTACTAACTGAATATTACTAAATAGTTCTCAATAGTGTAGTTTGGATAATAATAATGGACACAAATCAATTAGCATAAAGTGAAGCCAAAAAAACCGTGAAATAGATATTTCACTAATACGCCTTTGTACGCTCTAATTGCATTGTTTTCTTTATTGTGTCTATTCAACTATTACACTTTAATAATAGGCAATTTTTGTTTCACGGGTGTAATAACTTCACTCTATCTATTTCACGGGTTTTCAGACTTCAACCTAACAATTTTAACTGATTTAAAAATGCCTCAATAATCACTATGATTTTTTTTTACAAAAGCGTGTGGTAATTGTGCTTTAAAAAATTAAGATGTAATTCGATGTGCTTGAGAAATTCGAATCACTCACCTTCACATTACAATCTTGATGTTATCTGGCCTTACGTTTATGGTTTTAAAAAAAACATAGCACTTCAATCAATTGATCATGAAAAAGAAGCTAAGAACAAAAATTTAAGACCACTTAGTTTTGCCTTCTGATTAGAACGTAATGATCAACTGGGCTAGTTCTTTGATTTACCTGGCTTCTTACTCTTTGGATGACATTGGTATCCTCGTAGGGTTAGTTCAGCATATCTTGTCTAATTTTTTATATAATTTTTTATATCACTCATKGTAGCACCTCATGTACGTACTCTTTAAGATTCGATGTGGAACCTGTGAAACAAACACCAATATTTAGTTAGCGGAACTAGTGAGTACAATGCTTTAAATTCAGACTCAAAGACTCCTCATGAAATAGTACAGTAAAACCCGCTATTTATTAGTTTTTATCAGGAACCAGTCTTTAGTTGGCGTTTTCAGTGCGTGAGCGAAAATGAATATCCACAGATTGAGTTTTGTGGTCCCCTTTTTAAGACTAAAATATCAGGGACATCAAAGAGGTGACATGGTTTTATTTTGAAAGCACGAAACTTAGGAGCTTTTCAGGGACGGATCCAGGATTTTCTTTAGAGGGGTGAATTTTTAGAGAGCTAACATTTAGAAGTAGGCATTATAATAACCTAAAAGTTATTCACCTAATTAAGAGATACATTAACAAGACTAAACGTGAATCTTCGATTTTTACCCAACAATTTACTATTTCCTAAGTTCGCATTATCATTTCATTCGAAATTCCTCTATTCCGCCCCTGCTTTTAATATGGTCCACCAGCATGCAATGCGGTCGTGTTTTAGATTTTTCATATGGAAAATGAGGTCATGACTTCGACTGTCATTCGCAATCCGTTTCCATCCATCGGTTTAATGGTCGAATATTACAATATCTGCCTTTACAAGTATAACGGGGATAAAGGGGTAATAACGAGCAAGTTTTTGCTAATATTACGATGCATTTTTATCCTCAAACATGAGGAAAAGCTCGAAAGGGAAGCTAGTGGACCATGTCCCTTTATAAGATACGTATTAATTTGCTCCCTTTACGATTAACTTGCCATCACAATGAACCCACAACATGAGCACTTGGTTCCGTTATCAAGAGCCAATTAATTTTTGATGAAGGAATACCAAACTGCGGTCGTCTTTAGTATTGATTTATATTGAAGATTAGTATGTGCTTCATTGCGCACGCTCTTTATATTGATTTACGAGCCTTTCCCACATGGTTTAGTGCATGGCTCTAGTTCGTAATGGTTTAAAAAACCTCACTAGAAATGATGTGGACTGGCCAAGTATAGTGCAAGTGACAGTTTTGAAGCCATTTTGTTTGGGTAGGTAAACTCTCGCAAAAGAACAATGATACAGTKAGAAGTCGAGTTCAAATAATTCCCGTTGAATTCTAATTCTAAAAGAATCATTAATTGCAAACGTTCGGTACCATAAAAAGGAGTTACCTGGCCAGTTCTGAAGGACTTRTTTGACCTAGAGCGCGAGTAGACTCATTTTTAGTTCTGTGTACATTACAAACGAAAGTATTCTCCAAGTATTACAAAATGTATGGCGACCTGAAAAATGAGTTTACTCGCGTCCTAGATCAACCACGTCCTTCAAAAAACTGGCCAGTCATTAACTCATTTTCGTGCAGTATGTAACGTTTGGAATTAATAATTCTTTCATGCAGGATCATAGGAATTCAACTGGAATTATTTGATATCTGTTTCACACTGCATGTATTGTTATTTTGCGAGACTTTGTCAACCCAAACCAAATGATGTTCAAAAGCGTCACTTGATCTATATTCAGTTTTATAATGACCTGACGTTTGCCCATGTAGGAATGCAAACGATTTTTTTTTATTATCTCGGTCTAATGACGTTCAATGTTCTGATTATCACAAGCATTAGAGGGTACAGCAATTATCATTAGCTTATCCATTATTGTCGCGTCATTTTGGTCATTAGCACCTTAATGATTTTTTTCACCTTTAGTGAAGTTCAGTTGGTGGATTACACACAGGGAAGGAGGGGTCGGGGATGCCATATAATTCAGTATAAACACTGTTATTTTCAGGGAGTTGATATAACTCTGTCAAGGGAGTTAGTTAAATTTACTCCACCCAATGGAGTAACTTAAAGGAAGTAAAATCTACTACGTAATGAGAGTAAAGTTAACTCCACTAGGGATAATTTTAACTCCACCTGAAGATACTTAAGTAGAATAAGTGGAGTTAAATTAACTCCTAAAAAGGAGTCATCCTGTAGTACCTTTTTTTTACTCCACTTTTGTAGTTACA